AAGACGGGAGCTGACCAGAGACTATCTGATTTCTCGACTATCCCTTCCTTAATTAGACCATCCATGACCTTCTCCATCTCTTGTCGCTTTGCTGGAGCTATTCTCCTTGGAGAGATTTTTATTGGACGGTGATTGCCTGTGTTTATTCTGTCGTGCACAAGGTCTGTGAAGCCAAGGTCATGATCTCCTTTTGAAAAAACGTCTGCATAATTCGCCAAAAGTTCCCTTACCAGAAGAGCTTGTGATGATGACAAATGGACTATGCTCTTCTTATACAGGTCAGTTAAATGTTGTGGGAGAGGATGTCCTTTCTTTGTGGTTGTATTTCTTGCCTTAACATTGACTGGCTCTACCTCCTGGCACACACCCCTTCCTTAAATGTCTGCTCACATTTAGAGAAATTAGTCACTGTTATGGGTACAACTTGATGACCTGGCACAAGTGACCTTCCAATCTTCATGTCTGCTGGCCTGGATGGGTCTTCCACTGCTTCCACAAGCATTGGGCTTCCTTGGGGATCTTCTTTTATTCTACCCCAAATTATCTTCTCTGACATAGGGGGTATTATACTTGACTTAAGTGCTGTGATATGCAAATCAACAGATGCAGCAATACTAACTGGAATTTGGCCTTTGTTGTTTCCAATCTTCATTTTGTCGAAGTTAACTACACACTTCCTTGGTATTAAATAATCCAATCCTAATATGCACTGGTCTTCAATGTCAGCCAAGTATAATTTCTGTCTGTTCTTCATGCCCATGAGCTAAATAGTTACCCACACTGGTCCCCACAACCTTGCATAATGTCCTGTCATGCCACAGAGCTTATGTATGGCTTCTGGTACTCCTTTGTAATCCAGTACCTTGACACTCACAAGAGTTTGCTGTGATGCAGAATCTATGACAAAGTTGCACCTTTGGCCATCCAGCTTTACTGTCACATAGACACTATGTGTGCTTGCCATTTTACACTTAGCTGTTGGGACTTTCACGATGGGGGTTTGTGGGCGTCCTTCAGCACCAACCACTACTGGTTTCCCGAAGCTGACTTCTTGGTAATATTCTTCTTACACTGGCTCCTCATATGTCCTTGCTCTCCACAGTTCCAACAACCTTTCTGGGTAACAACCTTTCCTACCGTGGCATCTTCCCTGTGTTGAAGTAGCCGGCATTGAGCTCTCTTGTGCCCAGGTTTGTTACAGTGCCAGCAAAGTACCTCAAACTTCTCTGAAAGCTGAACTTTTCTGGCCTTGAATCCAGATGACTGTACCAACCTTGGTACCGCTGTGCTGGACTTAACGTAGGATTCGAATTCAAGAGCTCTGGCCATTGCATCTTGTATAGAAGAGGGGTGTGCTTGCTTTTCTTGTATCTTCAGTTGTGGACTGTCCAAGGCATCTACAAATCGGTCCCTCAGCAACAGCTTGAGGACATCGGGTGGTGCAGTTGGGTAGGCCTTGTGTGCCATATTTTCCAAGTCCTGTGCCAGCTCTTACAGGCTCTCCCCTTTAGCACGGACTCTCGTCCTAAACCTAGCCCTGTAGACTTCGGACTGATTTTGGGTTCCATACCTGAG